TTCCTAATATGTTTCCTAATTTGTTTTGATAACAGGTTATTGGGATTCCTAATCTGTTTTGGTAATAGGTTATTGAGAGTCCTAATCTGTTTTGATAACAGGGTTCCTAATCTGTTTTGGTAACAGGTTATTAGGATTCATATTCTATTTTGTTTTTGATTTTAGAATTCCTAGTATGTTTTTGGTTTTAGGATTTTTATATATATAGAACGTTTTAGAAGAGAAAAGAAGTAAGGGGAATTTGAGAGACTTCTGAGCTGTATGTTTGGGAGATTTGGTGGGAGATTTGAGAGCTTTATTTGAGAGATTAATTTGTGAGGTTTTGAGTGATTTTGTAATCTCTATTTGTACTCTCTCTCTCTTTAATAGTGAAAACTCATTCCCTTCTTGCCCCGTGAACGTAGGCAATTTGCCGAACCACGTAAAATTGGTTTGTTTGTGTTCCTGCTGTTAATTTTGTGTTTGTGTGACCTTCTCTCTTGGCAACTTTGTGTATTTCCTCGGATCCCAACAAGTGGTACCAGAGCCCAGGCTACGCTTGGGGATTGGTGAAGGAGTAGATCGCTTTGGAAGCTCGTCTAGGGTTTCAATTGGAGACAAATGTGGGATTTTTATTATTGTGGATCTTGTCTTCCGTCGTGTGGGGGTGAGATTTTTTGGAGGCTCTTGTTAGGGTTTCAGTTGGAGGTAAAAATCTATCTTTCTCGCAGTTTGGAGCTATTTCTTTTAGTTTTTTTCGCATTGATTTGTTGGTGCTTTGAGAAAGATGGTTGAGAAAGAAGAAGTTGAGAGTAGTACTTCTGGCATGATGACCATCCAAAGTTTGAATATTCACTCTATGAAGATAGACGTGGAGAAGTTTAATGGCACAAACAATTTTGGTTTATGAAGATGTGAAGTCTTGGATGCGCTCAACGTGCAAAATTTAGAGGATACTTTGGAGTTGGACGGGAAACCAGACGGCATTGAAAAAAAAGTTTGGAAGAAGATGAATCAAACGGCGTGTAGTATGATTAGGTCTTGTCTAACTCAAGATCTAAAGTATGATGTGATCAATAAGACTTTGACAAAAAAAAATTAAGGAGATTCTAGAGAGCAAGTATTTGACAAAGAGTGTTGAGAATCACTTACATTTGAAGAGGAGGCTTTATCATTTCTAATTGAAGAAGGAAATCTCAATTAGTGATCACATGAACCACTGCACAGAGCTTCTTACGGATTTGGCGAATGTGGATGTTATGAATGAAGATGAGGATAAGACGTTGTTGTTGTTGAATTTTTTGCCTGACGAGGAATATGAGACCTTCGTTCTTACTCTTATTAATGAGAAATCATCTCTTTGTATAGTGAGGTCACCGTTGCTCTTGTGAATTATTAGCTTAGGAAGAAAGATAAGGAGACTTCAATTGATACAGTAGCGGAGGCATTAGTCGTAAGAGGGAAGAGTCCAAACCGAAATAGTAGGTCGTAGTCTAGAGGAGCACATCCTGCAGTTGGTAGGAATCAGTGTGCTTTTTATAAAAACGATGGATATTGAAAGTCTGAATGCTCAAAGTTGATAGATCGAGCCGGGAAGAATAAGAAGAAAACTATACAAGCTTCAGATGTGAATGTTGCCAAGGCTAGTGGGGACAATTCAGATTCAGATTCTTCAGGCTACTTATGACATGCACTACTGACAGTTTGTGTTACCGACTCTACGGAGTGGATGTTAGATTCGGGTGATTCATACCATATTTTTCCTAGGAGGGATTGGTTCTCCAGCTTTGAGAAGTTAGAAAAAGGAGATGTCGTACTCATGGGTAATGATCATGAATGCCCTATTGGTGGTATTGGTATAGTTCGGATCGGGATATGTGACGGGGTGACTAGGGAGTTAGAGGAAGTGAGGTTCGTTCCGCAGTTGTCGAAGAATATCATTTTACTTGGAGCTTTGGAGGTAGCAGACTATAGGGTGATCTTAGAGGATGCATCTCTGAAGGTCACATTAGGTTCCATGATTATGATGAAGAGCGTGTCAGGAAGAATAATTTGTACTATTTGATTGGGAGCACGGTGACAGGTGGAGAGCTGACAACTTCTTTTGATTAGGCTAGACTGTAGCATTTGAGGCTGGGATATTCGAGTGTTGATACCGTGCATGGATTGGTGAGAGGTTCCTTGACCTACAGATTGAAGTCCTATGAATATGTTGGTGTGAGCAAGAAGACCAAGGTGGAGTTTGACACTTCTATTCATCAAGCGAAGGGTCTTGTAGGTGATGTTCACGTAGGCATTTGGGGACCTTTCAAGGAGGCATCATTAAGAGGTAATAGGTATTTGGTTTCTTGTGTTGAGGACTGTTCTAGGTATTTGTGGGTTGTAACCAAGTCCCGTTGGAGTGAAGTCCTAGTAGTCAACAACAGGTGGAAGAAGTGCATATGCAGAAAGGTAATACTTCGTTCTGAGTTTGGTAGGAAGTTCAAAAGGGATCATTTTCTGCATTTGTGTCTAGCTCAAGATAGTTCAAGACACTTCATTAGAAAGGAAACATTGGGCAATAAGATGAGATGGTAGATTTGATGGGTCGTTCCTTGCTGCAGAAGGATCGGTGTTTGATGTCAAGTAGTGGATTGTAGATGAGTCTTGGTGATGAGGCTTTGACATATTTGAGCCATCTTATTTACAGGTTACTGTCTTCCGTGATTGGTGTATTTGGATCTGGTGGAGCTGCTTTAGATTTTGGATTACTTCGGATATTGGGATGCCCAGCATATTATCACATCGAGGATGTGAAATTTGATCTGAGTGCACATTTGGGATTCAGAGGTGTGTTTGGTTACCAGGTATGAGACTGATGTTGTTTTGAGCAGTATTGTCATATTTGACTCTTAGCAAGTAGAGAGTGTTGGACAGATCATTGGGTTATCACAGCGGGTAGAGAGTGATACTACTTCACGTTGGGTGAAGATTACTCTACATACTCCAGATCATTATGTATTGTTTGGGATTCCAGCTGAGGTGACACGGATTAGGGATCATGTTGGTGTGGATGCAGATGATGAGTTTGTTAATTCGAGTGCAACTAGTAGACACAGTTCGGATTTGGCTATGACCGTTGGTTCACCTCAGGTGGAGGTGTTTAGTTCGTTTCACTTTGAGACCAGTGGGAGAGTTATCAGTTGCAGATTTGTTGGTGATGATCGTGAATGATTGAGAATCCTTCTAGTTGATTGAGGACCTTTGAAGGCCATTGGATGAACTACGGGCGGTTTGATCCCTTGGGAGAGAGGGTACATAGAGAACCACATTGGTGCAGCCGGATTTGGAGAGACGACACATTGGTGCTCATGTTTGGTGTCGGCTTGGGATTCCTAATCTGTTTTGGTAACAGGTTATTGTGATTCCTAATCTGTTTTGGTAATAAATTCCTAATCTGTTTTGATAACAGGTTATTAGGATTCCTATTTTATTTATTTTTGGTTTTAAAATTCCTAGTATGTTTTTGGTTTTAGGATTTATATATATATGGAACGTTTTAGAAGAGAAAAGAAGTAAGGGGAATTTGAGAGACTTCTGAGTTGTATGTTTAGGAGATTTAGTGAGAGATTTGAGAGCTTTGTTTGAGAGATTAATTTATGAGGTTTTGAGTGATTTTGTAATCTCTATTTGTACTCTCTCTCTCTCTCTAATAGTGACAACTCATCCCTTTCTTGCCCCGTGGACGTAGGCAACTTGCCGAACCACGTAAAATTGGTTTGTTTGTGTTCGTGTTGTTAATTTTGTGTTTGTGTGACCTTCTCTCTTGGCAACTTTGTGGATTTCCTCGGATCCCAACAACTTGTAGTTCCAGCTCTAGCCACTGTAGCAGTTCTACTTTTGCGCTTTGTATAGATCATATCAACCCTGAAACGACCTGGAATATTCTCCAACCAGAAGGGTGAAAAATGAGCAGTTTTTCTCCAAAGTTTTAAAGAATGTAAAGATTTGTGATGACCCTATTTCTTTCACGCCACACTCTAAAGAAGTGCACACACAGTATGTCCCACTTTTTTTTTTTGATCAATGAATTAAATCTTTCATTCATCTTGAGAAATTATAGTACATCAATGAACCAGGCTTAGACTTACTTGGTGAACAAAAACAGACACTATAGCCTCATTACAGACATTACAGTCTCTCTACAGTTTCCTTCATATATACAGGAATATTATCATTCAAGAGTTTAGAGTAAATGGAGAGTTTTATTACTCGAAGAAGCTCTTCAGTCCCCCTAGCTCTCTCTTGAAAGATCCTGGCATTTCTCTCTTGCCAAATGGTATATACAGTAGCAGAGAGAGCCATTCTCTTCAGGTCCTTCTTAAACCCCTTGCCTCTCAAGTTGCAGGTGTACCAGTGGATAAGTAGGTTCCAATCACACGTTCTCCAAGTGAAACCAATCCAGTCCATCACTTTGTTCCATACTTCAGCCGAATATTGGTAATCAAAAAATAAGTGTCTGCAATTTTCCAACTGATTAGAGCACAGGACACAGCAGTTGGTATCAAGCATTCTGAACCGACACAATCTTTCCTGGGTGAGTAGCCTAGAATGATTAACAAGCCAGAGGGTGAAAGAATGCTTAGGGTAGTTTAATTTCCCCCATGTAGTATAAGCCCAATCAACTGAGTTAATCGGCTGAGACAGAGCATTGTAAATCAGTCTCATCTGAATATTTCCATTTTCACAGCAGCTTTCCAAAGTGTTCATCAAGATTGTAGAATTGCCAAATTTAGAAATCAGCATACTTCTAACCTTGAGAATTTTCTTCCACATCCAAGAATCCCCCTCTCTATACTGAACTTGCCAAATGTTTGAACGTTGTAGATAGTGACCATGTATCCATTTGATCCAAAGTGAATCATCCATAAGAGCTTTACAGCCGCAACAAGATTCCATGTCTTAGCCGAAAAGAGACCTAAACCTCCTTGTTTCTTTTCCAGACAAACTGTATGCCAAGAGATTAGATGTATTTTCTGACCCTATAGGAAAGATGAACACAGCTTGTCAATTTTTTCAAGGACTTTTATCGGCAAGATATAGCTGCTAAACCAAAATGTTTGAACCCCAAGAATAACTGATTTGATCAGTTGAATTCTCCCAGCATAAGATAACTTCCTATTTTGCTGCCAATTGAGAAACTGATCTGCTAATTTACTGATTAGAGGGGAGCATTCAAGATGGGATAGCTTCCTTGTTGTTAATGGAAGACCCAAGTATTTCATTGGCAGCATCCCCTCCGAAAAGCCCAGGAACGTGCATATTTGAGCTCTTAAGATGTCATCAACACCACCCAGGTAGACTGAGCACTTGCCAATATTAGCTTCCAAGCCCGAAACCTGACAGAATTCTTGCAGACATGCTTGTAACTTTGTAATTGATCTTAAATCAGCCTTGCTAAACAGCAATAAATCATCAGCAAATATTAGGTGGGTTAGCTTCAGTCTAGAACACTTTGAATGGAATTTAAACAAATTATCATCCTTAAGCATGGATAACCTCCTGGACAAGTACTCCATGCCTAGAACAAAAAGATAGGGAGATAATGGATCTCCCTGTCTCAGCCCCCTTGCTCCATTAAAATAGCCATGTAGAACACCATTTAGAGACAAAGAGAACTTTGGGGTGGTGATGCACTCCCAGATCTAGCCAACCATAATTTCTGGAAAGCCCATACCCTCTAGCATAGTTTTGATGAATCCCTAATTTATTGTATCAAATGTCTTTCTAAGATCCACATTAATAATAGCTCTCGGAGAGATATGTTTCCTTCCATAATGTTTGATTAATTCATGGGCTAAAAGAAAATTACTTGGGATGAGTCTCCCCTTAACAAAGGCACTTTGGGCATCATTAATCAAATAACCCATGATTTTTTGTATCCTTCCCCTTAACAAAGGCACTTTGGGCATCATTAATCAAATAACCCATGATTTTTTGTATCCTGTTTGCAATGATCTTAGTGATTATTTTGTATTTTTTGTATCCTGTTTGCAATGATCTTAGTGATTATTTTGTAGATAACATTGCAGCAAGCTATAGGCCTAAAGTCTGAAGCTGAATTTGGACTGAGGATCTTTGGCACCAAGGTTATTGAGGTTGTATTTAAAGTGCCCAGGAGCTTACCTGACACAAAAAATTCTTCAATAGCCATAAACAAGTCTTCTTTGATCACATTCCAGGCAGATTTAAAGAAGGAGGCACTAAAACCATCCGGGCCTGGAGCTTTGCCATCAGGCATTGTAAATACTGCATGTTTGATCTCATCCCTAGTAACAGGCTTGCTCAACTCAGTACGGTGGATAGGAGAGAGAATTGGCCCTTGAATGATAACCTCAGGATTGGGTGCTGTTGTGAGACCTGAGGATCCAAGCAGATTCTTGTAATACTCAACAAATTCTGAGATGATGCTCTGCTGATTAGAAATCCTGGTGCCATTTTGAGAAATTAAAGACAACACCTTATTATGATGCCTTTTATTTTTCATAACAGAATGAAAGTGTTGCGTGCTCTTATCCCCATGTAAACCCCAACTAATATTGGCTTTTTGTCTGTAGAAAGAATTTTCACAATCCAATAAATGTGTGTACTTTTTGATGCATTCTTTTTCCTTTGAAATCAGAACTGAGTTGAACAGGTCAGAACTTAGTTGAGACTGTACTTCATACAACTCAAATTTAGCTCTAGTAACTTGCTCACTAATATTCATAAAGTGCATCTTATTCAGATCTCTGAGAACAAGTTTTAGTTTTTTGAGCTTGATGTAGAACCTGTACATATTATAGCCCTGCACCTGTTGTTCCCAAACTGTTCTGACAGTTGACAGGAAATCAGGATGTTTAGCCCACATAGCAAAGAATTTAAATGGTCTCTTACCTTCAATTTGCTCATCACTGATTGTTATTAGACCTGGAGAGTGATCAGAACATAGAGGCATTAAGTATTCTGTCTGACTGGATGTATATTGTAAAATCCAGTCTTCATTCACTAGCATTCTATCCAATCTGCACCAGATTCTTGTATGTGCATCATGTTTATTGCTCCAAGTAAAAAAGCAACCTGTGGATTTAATGTGCTTGAGATGGCTTGAAACTATGAAAATTTGAAAATCCTCTGTTTCTGCATCTGATACTTGTGCACCTCCCATTTTCTCCTCACCATTAAGAATAGCATTGAAATCACCCCCTACTAGCCAAGGGCCTGATACAGTCCTTTTAAAAGCCAAAAGATCCTGCCAAAGATCCCTCCTACCCTCCATTTGATTAAGAGCATAAACTATTGTAAAAAGACAGGTTAGCTTTCCATCTTTAGATTCCACTTTGAAGGACATGAACTGCTCAGAACTATTTATGTTCTGGACAGAGATATAATTGCTATCCCATAAAACCCAAATTCTGGCTTTATTTGCAGTATGCTGCACATTAGAGGTCCATTGCCAATCTTTTACAATTTTAGTAGCTATTATCTTCATTTTCTCAACAGCCACTTTGGTTTCTAAAAGAGCTAAAAAAGAAATTTTATAGTCCTAGATGAATTTCTTAACAACCAAATGCTTAGAGGATTTGTTAAATCCTCTGATGTTCCATATTGCAAGATGCATTTATTGATATATTCCACCCCTATCAATACTATAGGGGTCTAAATCAAGGACCTGATGAGCCAAGACTAAGAAGTGTGAAGTATGGGTTGTATTACCAGACACATTAGGTTGGATTTTTCTGGCAGTTTTAGTTTTAGCAACACTTGTAAATCCAGTGACATTGACAGTAGGAGAAGACTGAAAATGTGCCTCTCCCTGTTGATCAAATTGTTTAGCTAAACCAGAAGTTATTGTCTCAGAACCAGCAAACCCCTCCCCAAGCTGAGTCTGTGCATGTTTTGGACCATCCTGTGCATGTTTTGATTTGTGTGCACCAGTACCAGGGATATTTACCTCAGAGATATCTGCCAGAACATCTTTTGCAAGTCTGTCCTGTGCATTATTTGGCTGCACTTGTTCAGAATTAGTCTCAACAACAGCATGCTGCACTTTATTAGCAACTTGTGCATTGTGCCTGTTAACAGGTACATTATTAGACTGCACTTGTTCAGCATTAGTCTCAGCATCCGCATGTTGCACTTTATTAGCATCAGGAACTTGTGCATTGTGCCTGTTGACAGGTACCCATATTTTTCTTGTATTTCTCCTACACTGCCCAGTCTCATGACCCACTTTATTACAAAGTGTGCACCACCTTGGTTTAAATTCATAGATCACCTCCTGGACATGCCTTCTACCATCAGGATCATGAATGACAAGATGGTCAGGAAGAGGCTCCTTGAGGGGAAGATTCACTTCCAAAAGTACTCTAGCATAGCTCAGTCTTTGCCTTGTGGCAGTAAGCTTATCTGTTGCAATAGGTTTGCCAATGAGACTGGCAACTTTGCTTATACCAGTTGAACTCCAGAGGTTAAGCTTTAGATTTGGAAATTGAACCCATAGAGGGTAGAAGAAGTCCTGTATTTTGTCTAAATCAGTATCAATACTCCAAGGTTTTAACATTAAAGGCCTAGATCCAAAAAACCAGGGGCCTTCCTCAAGAATATCCTTCATATGTTTTTCAGATTGAAAATCAAAAAGAAAGAGGCCTTGCTTGATTAACGAGACCTTCGGAATAGAGAAATTGCTCCATAATTTGCTAATATAGGTCTCCATGGATTTAAATTTGACATTCAAACCAATAACATGCCCAATTAATGCATTACTCCATAGATCCTCCCCTTCCTTCCATTCATCCGCTGTAAAAGAGGTAGAATTTGGCACAGAAGATGGCAGGAATTTTAAAGATAAACCATTGCTTAATTTTCTGTTATCAGCAAACAAACTGACAAAAGATTTTCTTGGCTCTGTGTTCCTCGTCTCCTTAAGCATTCCATCATCAAGAGATTTTTCAGTCTCACTTGATTTCAAAATTGAATTCTCAGATTCTTTAGGTAAGGAAGCATTAAAAGAATCTTTAGAAAGGGAATCATTAACAGCGTTACCAGCTTCCAATTCAACATCGCTATTTCCAACAGATTTACCTTTATCCGTTAATGGAACAATGTTTGGAGATGAAATCAATTTTGAAATGTCTGGATCTGAACCAAGAACACTAGAAGATTTCTGGATAAAAGGAAGAGAAGTCACCTCAAGATCAACCTCATCAGCCCAGCTAGCCCTAGAATAACTGCTGGCACCACCATTGCTGAGTTGTCGAGCTTGAATTCCTTCATTAGGTGAAGATTGATGAGATTTCGGCAAGAAATCAGCAGATCTGATAATTTCCTCCATCAATTTCTTCTTCCTCTCCCCTTTCGGACCTGTTGAACCCATGATATCATCATCATCTTCCAAGAAAGTTGTATCAATAAGATCCTCCTCAGCTTGCGATGATCTTGAGGATCGCAATCCAATACTAAGAATTTGCCTCCCCTTCTTCTTCCTCACCATTGAAATCTAAGCGGGAGCGTATGTTAGCAGCTAAATCGCCCACTAACATACGCCTTCAGACAGCCCGCTCCTTAGGAAGACCAATGTTATGTCCCACTTTAATCTAATTTGAGATTGAATCTCTAGCAGTGTCCATTCAGACCAAATATCCTTCAGCTCATTTGGTTTATATTGTATTTAAAAATTATACAACAAGGAATTCCACGGAGAGGAAGTTAGAGAAGTTTTTTTTATAACCGTCTAAGTTAGGAGGGGTTTTCTAAAATTTAGCCTTATAAAGAATATTTGGGTAAATAAGTTGCTAAGCGTTCACAGTGCGATATTATATCTGCAAGTAGCCATTTTTCTTTCAGTTTGTTATTATTTAGGTATCATTGACAATTTTCATCTTCTTATACAATATGAATATTTTCTAATTTTCTTTTTTTTCCTAGTCTTGCGGTGTGGAATTATTCCTTGTGTTAAACTCATGTAATTTAGTTCGGTGGAAAGTGAGAATGTTGTACTCATGGTCTTAAGGGGCTATTTAGTTCGTTTCCTATATATAGGGAAATGCAATTCCATGTAAAAAAAACTCAAGTTTTGAGTTTTCCAAGAAATAGATTGTTTTGGTTTGGTTCGCACACAAAAAATGGTGGAAAGCAATGTATTTACTTTTCTTGTGTTTGGTTCGCATGGAAAAAAAAAGAAAAACGTTTGTATTATTTGACATTTCCTACTTTTCTTGTGTTTGGTTGGTTTTGAAGTTAGTAGGAAAAAGTGTTTATAGTCACCATGGTAAGATTACCTCCACTATATACAAATTTATGGCGTTGACCTTGTTAGACCCTAGAGGGGGGGTGTGATTAGGGTCTTATGCTAATCTAATCCCGATTTTATACCAATTAAAATTATATTGATTAATTTGTTCTTGCAAGAGATATATGAGATAGATATGAACAGGAATAAGGACAAATAAAAATTATGCTAAGCAAACACAAACACACGATATGTTTACGAGGTTCGGTCCCCACAACCTACGTCCCCGCTCCTCACCTCGAGGAGATCTCCACTATCACAACCCGGTTTGGAAGCCGGAACTTCTACACACTCGGTTTACAAGTTTACCGAAAACTCACACACAACAAATACTATGCAATCATACTTTACACACTAAGTGTAGGATTCTAGCCCGTGTCCTCCTCCTCAAGTGCTCGGATACAACCTCTCCCTAGGTTTGTCAACCGACGTCACTCCTATTGGATTCGACCCCGTCTTACGCCTCACACTTCTCTCGGTGTACAAATGTATTACAAGCGATACTCACAATAAGGGTTTAAATACAATGATTTGTTCTCGATAGTAAATGAGAACACAATGAAGCTCACTATCACTAAATCACACACCACTACCCAACAATATATTGTATGGATATATTATAAGCTCAATACAGTGTGTGTGATAAAAGTGAATAGAAAATATGTAACTCAAATAATATAGCTAAGATATGAAAAATGAAATAACAAGCTATATGAAAGTGAGTTTAGAAAACTTCTCAATAAACAGGAAGAACTGTAGAATGATGAGGATAAGATCCTCAGTTGGAATTGAAAGCCTCTTCTTGCGGTAGAAAACTTCTTTTGAAACAGACCAACAAAACCAGCTTAAACACTTGCTAATCTTTTGATAAAACTCACTGTAAACAAAAACTCTTAGTATATTGAAAGAGGAAGGCACTGGGGTATTTATACTCACTCAATATATCAGCCAAAACAACATTGAAAAGACCAAAATATCCCCAGAGAATCAAATCAGAAAATAGTCGTTACAACACAACGGTCAATACGGTGGTTGAACGTGAAAATCTGGCGGTCGACCGCGAAGAGCAAAAAGTAGGAGAACTGTTCTAAAAAGTAGGCGATCAACCGTGACGGTCGACTGTGAAAGACTCTGGATGAGCCACGGTCGACCGTGAGCCATTAAAAGGTAAAATGGGATTTTGAACTGCAGGCGATCGACTGTGACGGTCGACCGCAAACTGATACAGAGATTTTTACAGGTTTTTGGCTAACTTTAAAAATACAATAAAAATATTAAATCAATTCCAAAAATAGTAAAACTTTAGGAAAAGTTTTTAAATGATAAAATAAACATGTTTGAAAATGAATTTTTGGAAATACAATTTTCGTTTGTGAAAACTCACTATTTTTTAAAAGTGTACATAAAACATGTTTTTTGTGAACACAAAAATTAAACTATGACTTGTAAACTTGTGTATATATATCATGCATACATTATATATATATTTAAATCAATTCCAAAAATAGTAAAACTTTAGGAAAAGTTTTTAAATGATAAAATAAACATGTTTGAAAAGGAATTTTTGGAAATATAATTTTTTTTTGTCAATGAATTAAATTTTATTCATTTTTCAAATATGTAAGTTGTGTAAAACATCAAGATACCAGAATTTTCCTGGTAATCAAAAAACAGCAAAAGTGACAATGAAAAATAATTACATTTGCACTATTCTCTCTTTTATATAAGGAGAAATATCATCATTCAGAATTCTAGATAGTATCAGTATCTTCACTATTCGAAAGACTGATGCAGGATCGTGAATTTTCTGCTGGAATATTCTTTGATTTCTTTCCTTCCATATAGCATAGACTAATACAGTTAATGTCATTCTTTTAATTTTCTTCATAAACTCATTCCCTTTCAGTTTAGAACTATACCATTCAATAATAGTATCCCAATTGTAAGACTTCCATTTGTAGTTCAGCCATTCCATAACACTATTCCAGAGTTCAGCTGAGTATGCACATTCAAAGAAAAGATGCCTGCAGGTTTCTTGCTGCTGAAATGTGCACAAGACACAGACTTTTTGTCGTTGATTAATGTCAAGGATCCTCATGTGACATAATCTATCCTTTGTTAACAATCTAGAATGAATAGCAAGCCAAGAGATGAAGGAATGTTTAGGATATGACCATTCATCCCAGACTGTTTTAGACCAGACCACTTGTGCATTTGAATTTTGATTGATGAGCTCATGGTAAAAAGCAGATATCTGGAAATAACTTCCAGAGCAACATTTGCTGATGACATTTTGGACATTTGAAGCATCCCCCAGTTTGCAAATCACCTTATCTCTCACTTTAATTATTTACTTCCACATCCAAGAATCATTTGCTTTATTTTGAACTTTCCAAATATTGGACTGTCTGAGATAATTTCCATGAATTCATTTAATCCATAACAAATCTTTCTTAAGATGTATCATCCAAATAAGCTTGATAGCAGCTGCAAGATTCCAGACTTTAGCAGAGAAAACCCCTAGTCCTCCATGCTCCTTACTTTGACAAATTGTCTTCCAGGATATCAAGTGGATTAATTTTATGATTCCAAAGGAATTCTGAACAGAGACTATCAATTTTCTTCAATACCTTAGTTGGTAGAACATAGTTGCTAGTCCATAAATTTTGAATGCCTAGGATGACAGATTTGATAAGTGTAATATTCCTGCATAGGACAACATTTTTTTTTTGCCAGCTCTGAAACTGAGCAGATATTTTATCAATCAAGGGGGAACAATCTGAGCATGATAATCTCTTTGAAATTAATGGAACTCTCAAGTATCTAACTGGTAGAACACCTTCAGCAAAATTCAAAAGAGAGCAGATATAGGTCTTCAGATCCTCACCAATACCACTCATATATATAGAACACTTATTTGGATTAGTCTCCAATCCAGAAACTTGACTGAATTCAGATAAGCATTATTTTAATTTTGCAATTGAGTAGATATCAGCTTTGCAAAATAGTAGCAAATCATCAGCAAAGAAAAGATGGGAAATTTTGAGCCTTGAGCATTTTGGATGATATCTGAAAAGATTATCATTTTTAAGGGAATTTAATCTTCTAGATAGATATTCCATACCCAAAACAAAAAGATAGGGAGATAGGGGATCTCCCTGTCTTAAACCTCTAGCTCCTTTAAAATAACCATGCAAAGAACCATTCAAAGATAAGGAGTATTTAGGTGAACAGATACACTCCATAATCCAATTGATCATAATCTCTGGAAAGCCTAATCTAGAGAGCATTGCTTGAATAAACTTCCAATTAATTGTATCAAAAGCTTTTCTTAGATCAATATTGAGAATTGCCCTTGGTGTAAAATATTTTCTGCCATAGTGCTTTATCAATTCATGAGCTAAGAAGATGTTACTAGAAATAAGTCTTCCTTTAACAAAAGCACTTTGGGAGTCACTGATAAGAGTCCCCATCACCCCTTGAATTCTTGTTGCAATAATTTTAGATATGATTTTATATAAACAATTGCAGCAATAAATTGGCCTATAATCTGAGGGGAATTTAGGATTGAGAATCTTTGGGACCAAAGTAATAGATGTTGCATTAAGAGCTCCAAGAAGTTTACCAGCTTTGAAAAACTCTTCAACAACAAGAAAAAAATCCTCTTTTATTAGATTCCAGGATTCTTTGAAGAATGCAGCAGTGTATCCATCTAGGCCTGGTGCTTTCTCATTATCCATTGAAAATAATGCTTGTTTGATTTCATCTCTAGTGATTGGAGCACTAAGATTATTAGATTGTGCAGAAGAAAGGATGGGACCATTAGATAAAACTTCAGCATTAACCTCTGCAGTAGATCCAGAATAACCCAAGAGATTCTTGAAGTAAGTAGTGAATTCTTCTATGATATCTGAAATATTAGTAATTCTTTCCCCTCTATGATTGTATATGGATAATATCTTATTTTGATGCCTTTTTGCCTTCATAATAGAGTGAAAGAATTGAGAACATTTATCACCATGTATGCCCCATCTGATACTAGCCTTTTGCCTGTAGAAGGAAGTTTCAAAATCCACCATTCTTGTGTAGATGCTCAAACATTTTTTTCTCTTTTGAAATTAAATCTGAGTTGAATGGATCATTCCTCAACTGTTGCTGAATCTCAGCCAAGTCCTCCTTTTCTCTTATCACTTGTTCACTGA